AGATTAGAGGCTTATGACCATGTTTCTAGCAGGGTTTGTCAAGGCGGACTTGATATCAGCGGCTTGCAGGGAATGATTGCAGAGGAGGGTGGGAATGTGTTCTATCGTGCAAACACAGCTGGGACAGAAGTGAAAAATTTTTTTTTTCTAACAAGGTAATCTTCTCAGAGGGCTTAACATTTCCTGCCCAGCAACTGGGCTGCATTCTACAGTGCATTACTGTTTGAAGTCCTCCACAGACCTGGAGGTATTTACTCAAATGCAAACCTAACCAGTTAGGTAAAGGAAAGTTTTTTCTTTCCCTTTTTTTGTAATTACTGTGGATAGTTCAGAAACCAAGAACAACTGCTAAAAAACAAGTTACTGATAAAATTTTGTAGCACAGGGAACCTGGTAAGAAACACTTATTGCATGTTTTGTTTTGTGATTTTTTTTTTCTGACTTAGTAATGTATCTGTAATGGCTGCACAAGTTTGGTTCCTGTTCATGAAACAGACTTCCACTGAAAGGTCTTCTTCAGCAAAGTCCCTAAGTTGTCTGCAAGATCTACAGACTGCTTTAGGCCCTGTGGTTGATGCTTTGTAAGTGGATTCAGCGCTGCCATCCTCACCTGACTGACTTCAGCACATGAAAATACTAACAACATTTTCATGTAAGGAGCAGTACGTCTTAGCAGCACTGTGTCTAAGTCCACATGGATGCTAGAAAGTGGCTCCGTCATCCAAACTAAAGAAGATACCTCTCGTACAATCCTGAGTTCACAGAATCTGAAACCAGGCTTGATCAGCCTTCAACCTACCTTTCTCCCATAGGAAGAATGGGATTTTAAGGGGAAAGGAGAGGAATTGAACCTGGGGGCTGAGAGAAAAGTCTACAGGAAGAGTCATAGCTCTGTACTGTGTTGCATTCTATGAATATGTTCCACATTTCCTGCATTTCCCTGTACACCGTAATGGTTAGGAGCCCTCTTCGAGGGTTTCTTCTGTGAGCAATTGCTTCCTAATATGAACAGCAAAAAGTCAGGCTCTCTAATGTTTATTCATTTTTCCCCAAAGTAACGAGGAGTTAGTATTTTTTACAGATTGTCTCAAATATTTGTTTTGCACAAAGTGTCCTTTAAATTTCACCTGTGGCTTTTTGCCAGAAGCTGCTTGCACGTGGTTAGTTCTGTGTACCCAGCTGCAGCCCTTCATGTGAAAAGCTTTTTGTGCAACAAATTCAGGATGAACTATCAAAAATATAAGTCTACATTTGCATTCCTAAATCCTGCTTTAGTCTCGTAGGTGCATAAACAGTATGGCTTTCCTTAGACCTTTTGAGTTCTCAACTATTAGGGCAGTGAACTCAGTTAGGCTTACATCCCAAAAAACTCTCGAATTGTCACAGCTGGCCTCACAATGAAGTTTCTAGAAACTATGGCTAGAGGCAACCTCTAGTACCGAATCTAACTTCTGCAGCTTCTTGGTTTCGTTACGTGCTTGGACAATGTGAGCACGTTTAACAACTCCATTGAAATCCATTTAATCTTGCAGTTTAGCTGACACCAACAGCTTCTTGCTCCACTACAAGCCTAAATGCAATTCTGTGAGACAACTTTATGACCCATAATGGGGAAAAAAAAAAGTCACCAATTACTGAGATGCATTTCTTTTCTAGTTTGAGGAATCTGAATTCCACTGTCAGTACCAATAAAGAGGCAGGGTTTATCTAGCTGTAAGCAGAAACTGGCCTTGTTCTATATACTGTACACATTATCTGACCTGCTTCAGCTGGGATTGATAAACATTGCAGAATCAAATTCAGTGAAGTTTTCCTCGTGTTGAGGGTCATCCTCTCAGGTGTTCCTGTGCATTTATGGTACATTCTGGGAGCTTTACCAAGGCACTTTCTCCTATTGAGAAATAAAAACATTCTGCTGTTTAGAAAAAGCAACAGAAGTCTCTACTTCTGCCCCTGTACACCACAACCCTCGAGTGGGTGGAATGGAGCTGTGATGCCATCTGACTCTTAGCTCCAGCCAGGTGCAATAGCTGCCTGTAGTAGCCAAACTTGCCCTGTATTTTCACCTTCACAACTTACTGAGCCTTCAAGACTTGAGTGAGCAGTTAAAAAAAAATTTTTTTTTAATTGCCTGTGTGACTCAATTTTTGCCATTGCAAGATGATAATTTTGAAGATTAATAGTAGGAAGAATAAAGAAAGTTGTTCAAAGCATGTCCTAAATTCTTCCCAGTTGATCCCTTTCAGCTACTACTTTATTTTTTTTTAAAAGTTTTAAAATTCCAAAGACACAAAAGCAGTGATAAGTTCCATGTGATGGCCCTCACGAATCTCTGACACCCAAGGTCATGTCCACATCAGCTGTTGTGTTCACTTATTTCCCTCCTGCCTTTTCTCCTTCCCCTGAAACCTAGTTAATATAACTGACAAACATTATTGTTCCTTATCTGAAATCCTAAATGGAGGAGTTCTTAAAGCAGGAAGAGATTGTACCTGCCTGTAAACACCTGTGTTGAGGACAGATGGAATAGACAAAGTAGGACTCGGGAAAAGCCAACTTTGCTTCAGGTGTTCACTCAGGCAGTGGTGCTAACATAGCTTGAGAGGAATTCATAGCAGCAGAATTAGTGTCAGGATCAGGAATAACCTTTCTTGAGCCTGGCAGCAGGTTTGAGGGGAGAGTAGAATTAACACAGGTACCCTTTCTGGAAAGTTATTCAAAACAGAAAAACTGTTTCATTAAGATTCCTCTGGATTTGAACAGCTTCTTGGAAGTTGCTGTAGCTGACCGCTTCCTTGGATGTAACTTTAATGAGTTTTAATCTGTTTTGCTTTTTCAGGTGGAGTGCGTGGGATAGCACGAGGCGGTATTGCAGGTCTGACGCTTACTGGCCTCTACGCTCTCTACAACAACTGGGAGCACATGAAGGGCTCCATAGCCCGGCAGTCCCTCTGAGCAGGGCAGCCAGCGCTGGACAGAGGACACGCTTGCACAGTCACCAATCAGACCAGTTGCGAGATCTGTCTGGTGCCCCTTCCCATTTTATTTACAATTAGCGTGAAAGTGAAAGAAGCTGTGCTGGGAGGAGCCTCTTGACACCGTGTAGCTGGACTGGCCCTTTCCTTTCTGCCAGCCGGTCGCTGGAGGGGCAGCAATATTTGTTGGACCTGCAAGCGAGCAGAATGGCCACCAAGACAGACTCTCCCTGACGTGCTCAGCAGCTAGCCCTGGGCCAGAGCTACAAGGCATGCTCACCTCCCTTAGCTCTGCCTGCTGCGCTATCAGGCTTGTTCGATTTCGTGTACTACGACGATAGCGCTGCGTAATAAAGTCTGTGTCCACAGAGCTATTCACTGCGGTCTGTCGGCGTGCATGGCCCGGCCAGCCGGCGCCTGGGCAGCAGGAGCCTTAAGCAGCAACTGGCACAGGGCAAGGCTTGTTATTCTGACAGCACAGGGTAAGCTGTAAAAAGGGACATCGTCATCAATAAAAAGGGTGGTATTTACGCAGTAATGTGTCTATGCTTTGCTGTTCCTACTACTGATAAGACAAAAATGTGCCACATCCAATGACTCTTACTTTCAGTTCTGTTTTGAAGGACCGATGTGATAAAATCCTAGGTGAGTTAGTAGGTGAGGGGAAGTGAACTAACAGGCTGATTGTCTCCTGATGCGAGGTGGCGGTGAGGCGTACCAGGGCTTGACTCCAGTCCCTTATTTGCTCTAATAAATAAGGAACTGGTTGTTTCTGGATGAGGTACAGTTGCTGTTGCAGAACAGCTGCCAGTGGATTATCAAAACACTCAGGTGCTGCAGGATCTTGGAACTCGTTTAGCCAACAGTTAGAAACCAAGCAGTATAAATACTCCTCTCATTGCCTATTACAGAATTTTTAATCAGTGACAAGCTTTTTCCCCAAGTAATGTTTGTAGGTTATTGGCAGAATGAAAACGTGATGAGCCTACACCTTCTCCAGTGTTAAACCATCTACCAAGCATTGTTTGCAGGTAAATGAAGCAGTAAGGTGTGAATTAGTTCAGTAATCAGTTACTGTATAACAGCTCATTCCTTAAGTTTTTAAATGATTTAAACAGGTCTGAGACAGTGCGAAGGCAGGGCAAGGGAAAAATAGGAATCTTACTGCTCAGTAGACAACTTAATGCAAAACAGGAGTTTACTACATCACACTCAACAAAATAGAAACTTCAGAAAAACAGTAGAGGGAAGGAGGTAGCTCTTACCTTCCTCTGAGAAGAAACGCAGCTTTGCCGAGAAGCCTCTTTAGGAGGAGGTGACTGCTGAGACTAGCTTTTTATAGAGCACATGGTCTAGCTAACGAGCTTTCACAGTTGAACGCAATTAGCTTTGCTGGGATACCAGGTCGAAGTAGGTGCTATATGCCAGCACTTAACTAGATGTAGCATAAAGGAAAGAAAATGGGTCTTTTCTTACCTGTTTTGTAGATGCTGTTTCTTGTTAAGCCTTTTAGTGAGCTGTGCATTACCATTGTGATGTAAGAGCTGGACCTGCTAGCATGCATTTTTTGAGGGCCGTGCCACCGAAGAAACTGTCCTACTCACAGGCTGCAGAAAGGTGCAATAGGCACCAGCTGCCCAGTGCTGTTGGGTGGGACATAGGGAAAGGCGTGAGCTTTCTTCCTGAGCTGCTTTTTCTCTACCCATTGGCATCGGTGAGTTCCTCCCCGCCCGTGTTTCATGCCGTTAGCAGGACATACACACTTAACAATTCTGGGTGAAGGACTGATAGCTGCTTTGGGGGCTGATGGTGGGTGAAGGTTGCTTTTTCAAGTGTCAGGAACTTTGCAATGGTCTTTTAGTTTTCCTAGAGTCTTTCAGGACTGAAATATGACCCAGGAGCTCTCTGTCCCTGATTGAAGTGGGAAAGTTGTGAAGCTCAACAGCTTTCCTCCTTTAGGTGCACTGGAGATAACACAAGAACAAGCTTTTGTAAGCTCAAAGTTGCCACAACCTTAAGGCTACGCTGGCTCTTGACACAACTTAGCATGTTATCTGGTGTGCAATGACCTCAAATTTCCTAGAATTGCTTGCCTCAGAGGCAGAACTGAGTGCGTTTTTCTGAAATAGCTTTGTTTCTAGGGCTATTAAAAGCTTTGGTTTATAACCTGTTTGTACGTGGAGTGATCCATAGCTTGAGCTATGAAATGCACCTGACACTGAGGCAGCAGTGAGGGAGGTGAATTCCAAGCATGGGATACAGAGAACATCATAAAGATGTTCTGTGTCAAGACTTAACGGTGTTCACAATTTAATGGCCAACAATCAGTACAAAGTTGCTACTTAAAGCTGTGACCAAAAGTATTTCTGAGTTCAGTAGGAATAAAAGGAAGTAAAACCAAATTACAAACAGGTTTTGGTGAACGAGTTATAGTCCTCCCATGCAGTGTTACATAAACGCGAGCATGGGAGACCTTGGCCACCTCAAAGAGCCGTGGTTTATCCTCTTGCAGTGCCGGTCACGGCATCTAGTTTTGCTGATCGATGAGACAGACAGCTTTCCATGCTGTGGCAGCAGGTGAGGGAGGCTGAGGCTAACAGGTAAAGCTTTTGGAGTCTTGTAAAGCCATTTTTGCGAAGTCTGGAACAGAGAAAGGCAAACCACTGCCACCATTCCTGGTCAGCAAGTGACTTCTCTTACAGTTGGGGCAATTTGTTGAAAAATGACGAGTCATGTGGTAGGAATCTCCAACTTCCTCTATGAAGCAGAAGCTGCTTCTGAAAACAGGGAAATGTGTGCTAGGGCAGAAAAAATGATTCAGTGGTCGTTCCTTGTTTCCTCTGACCTAACCTGGTCCTGAAAAAGGAGGGAGAATGCTTAGGAAATTGGTATGTTTTAAATGGAGCTTTGTGTACTCGAGAGTATTGGCCCGTGCTGTTGAATGCCAGGCACACCAAAGGGTACTGCAGCCTTTTTGGGAGTTTGACAGCATCCTGCGTTCCCATCGGATATCTCTTCCCCCGACATCGGCTGCCTTCTCTCCCTGTCCTGTGAGCACAGCTGCCTGACCTGCATCACAGCAAGTTGGAGTCGGAGGAGTGGAGCAGCCTGGTGCCCCAGCAGCCTGCGAGCAGCCCTGCTCCAGGTAGGTACTCGTGAGGGAAGTGCTCTCCTGCTCCTTCGCTTACAAGGCTCTGCAGTCGCGTTGACGCGCGCCTTTGTGAAGGATTTCCCCAGGCTCCACGTGTGTCTAATCGAGGAAAGGGCAGTTTGCTTTCTTGGCTCGCCTAGTCCGTACCGCAGCCTGCCAAGCCCTGGCCCTTCCCCTCTCTGAATTCCCGGGCACCTTCCCCTGCTGCCTGCAGCGGCTCTCGGGGGCAGGGATGTAATGGGCATTCACTAGGCCCACTCTCAGCTTGTGAAGAGCCTCCCAGTTGAAATTAGCCGTAAAGCTCCATACTTTACCAGTGCATAAGTTATGTGACCACAAAGCATTTCAGTTATTTAGCACAGAAGCAAGTTAGGAGGATTCATTGCTTACAGAAACTCAGCTAAGGGAGAAGTGGGAGGTAACTGCTCCAGCTCCACAGGGAGGGAGAGAAGTGGAATTAAGCATTCCTCAGTACAAGCACCAATCTGATAATCCTGGGTTTTTCTAAGAAAGCTCTCCAAATGTTTGAGAAGCCACAAATAGTGTTCTCTGCTCCCACTACTCAGGCTTCTTTGTATTTTTTTCCCTGTCTTCGAAAGCTAAACATTCAGGATACATTTGAAGTTCTGCTTGTGGCTGCTTCTAACAAAGAACCTCTAATCCAGTTAGAAAAAGTGTGTGTGCACACCCACACATGAAATTTGAGGTAGCGTGGCCGAAAGGCTGCCAGGCCCAGCTGCATGCTGTCTCATGAGAATGTTCTCTTAATGGTACAAGGCAGCCCGGAGTTTAAAGGAATGGAAAATCCTCAAAGGAGGAACAAAACACGCAGCGAGTCTGATGTTCAAAAACCAGGAGAACAGAAGAGCCAGAAAGGAACTAACTTCCAATTGTGCAGCCAGACCAGAGATGTGCTACAGCCATGGGAGAAGAGGACTGCAAGCTACTGAAATCCATAAATCCTCCTTAATTGAGTGATAAGAAACAAACATGTAATTTGGTTTAAATCTCTGTTTGTCACAGCAGCTGAGGAAAGGCCAGGTGAATTAGACATGCCAGCCATCTGCCCAGGGGCCTGTGTGGCAGTGCAGTGACTGACAGCAGTTACCCACTGGGTCTGCCCCTGGCACCTGGCTTTGACAGCACTGCTCCGCACAACTGCACGGAGTGGTGAAATAACCAACTACAGCTTATGAATCCTACACAGGGATGGAAGCGCAGCAGCAGCAGCATCCAAACAAGTTAACTAGGCAACGCGTCTCAGCGTTTTGTTAACCCTCTTTGCAAAGGAGACGTACCACACCCTTTGGTTGCAGTTATTTTTTTAATGGAAAAGACTAATCAATGTTTTACATAAATATCAATTAGTGATAACAAGTCAGTCAAGTAAGGAAAGGAATACATACCCCCAAGTTTTAAAGGCTCATAAAGAACTGACAAAGTAGCACACAGTGACAACTACAAGGAATTGTAAGAGGTGGGCTGCACATCCGTCATCTTCATTAGGCTAACTGCTATCAAATCAGACTATTCACTGGAGTTGGTCACAGTGCAGTCTTCCCATGCAGCAACAAGGACACGTTAAAAAGGGAAAGTGAACTTCAGAAACATCTTTCTGCTTCCAGCAGAAAGCCCCAGCTATGAAAGTACAAAAGCCTCAAGTGGTCCACTGACGTTTAGTCCTTTGGGCTCTGGTTTCAGATGTGCACCATCCCCCTCTCAGACAAAAAAATATTTTTAACTAAATGCACAGGTCCTATCAGACGGGGATGTGTTTACACTGCAAAGCGATACCAAGGTTGGATCTTGCTAATAATTTCTTTTCTACAGTGTCGTGAAGAACTGAAATCACTTTTATTCCCAGGCGGGCTGCAGGGATGGGGAGAAGGGGAGGCTATCGTTATAGTCGTTAAGAGCAATTTGTTAAGTGAGCAGAAGCTGCACCAAAGGCTGTAACTTCACAGTTTTTCATGCAAGCTGACAGGCGTGATCCACGTTTCCATCTGACATCTCTGCACTCCTTCCTACAGGCTCAAAAACACTGAACACCTGAAGAAGTATTGCTCATATTATGTCCACAGCTACAGCGATCGGAGTTACTCGACCCCACTTTCAGATGCTTAACGACATGGAAATCCACAGCTTATGTATCTTTAAAATGGATCAGTGGGAGCCACGCAGTTTGCCAAGTTAGTGTTTGCCAATTAAAGAGCACAACATTAATCTGATGAGAAGGCATCAAATCCCCCAAATATTACCTTTAAATATTATGTGGCTAAGATGCCTGCTTTCCAGTGGTTTAGTCAATAAAAGTTCATTATGAATTATCTAAAACTAGCAGAAAATTATATAGATTTCATCTTACAGCTTTTTCAGTGAGATTCAATAGTTATTAAATGCTGGGGACATGGTAGGATCTGATCTACCGATGCATGAAAATTACCTGTTCTATGAATGGGTCAAAAATTTGCAAGAAAAGTTCTCATTCAAAACTAAGTGACCAATTCTCCCGTCATGTGTCAGGTCCCATAAATTCATGTCTTTTTCAAAATCGAGACTATACATGCACCAATACAAGATGCAAATGAAACCTTTAAAAATTAGCAACAGCTCAATAAAAGAAGTTGCTTCCAAATACAGCCTAAGTTATCTTGCAATCCCACTAAACTGGAACCCAACTCATGACAAAGTTGTAGCAGCTGAAAGGAACAGCAACGCTTGGAAAGTCACTGCCAAAGGTGGACGTTTCACAGCACCAGAGAGATTTTGCTTTAACATACTTCAAGTGACAACCCATTAAAGAAGATTCACATAGTCCCATAACAGATACAAGTTTACTAACACCTCTATAGCATCAGATTGCTTATGCCCAGTGGGTTTACATTTCAGAATTAATCATAAAAAGGTATCTTCTTCTGCACCATAACTCTGTTATATGAGTATTTTTTCTTTTTGTTATAATTTTAGAAGAAAAAGCAGATGGCCAAACACAAACACAAGAATTCAGCTGTCTGCAGTCACTCAGCGTGATGTGCGATTGATCAGCGGGAGGGGGACGACTTGGATGCTTCCAGTTCTTCACATCTAAACAAATTTAAAATGGAGTTATTGTCTTTGAGATAAACGGAAAGCAACACTTTTGGAAAAAGACGTGTATAAGACACCTTGGAGAAAAAAACCCCACAACATACTAAAATACTTGCTAGAACTGAGTATCTTGCCTTTTAGGGTTTGAAGTATGCCTCCTAAGGAGGACTTCTATCATGAACTTCAAAAACAACGATAAAGAGTTGCCTCGGCAGAAAGGAAAAACATGACATCAGCTGTAAATATGTTACTGAGATAAGAAAGAAGCTGCCTGGAAATTTAGACATTAATCGCACGTTCTAGTTACAGTAGAAGTTACCAAGATTTTACCAAGTGCCAATCAGCTGAAGAGTGATTTACTCCAGAACGTAAGTAATCCCCTCCCTGGCTGTGATCAAAGAGGAGGAATAATGAAAAAGTAGAACAGTCCAAGCTGTTCAAAAGGTATGCAGGGAGAAAAGAAAAAATCACAATGCTGTTAAACATTACATATACAGAACTCTGAAGACGACAGTTTGCTGCCAGCATCTGTACTGTGTACCCCTGAGTCACGTCTGGGCCCAGCTGTTCTAATACACTCTGTGCAACCCACCTGTAAAGGAGTCCGATACAGCCATTTTTCTTTATCTCCACTGAGTTTCATACAGGCAAAAAGGTCACAAACTGTAGGAAGGCCAAAGTCCTGAAAGAGAAGTCACCGTAATTACTGATCTCCAAACATAAATATGTTCTGATGCATCTTCAAATTCTATCAAGTGCGCTCAAAAAGAAAATTGGGGATTAATACTTTCTTCATTTAGTAAAACATAACTTGTTTTGTGTTAAATGCTGGCCTCACCCACTTAAGTATCTAAGTAATAATCACTGAAAACATTAAAAGAGCTACGAAAACTAAACATGGTCTATCAGTATTTCCCAGAAGAGCTATGAATTTAGAAGACAGGCATTAAATTCAGTAAAACGATAAACGCAGCCCACTCAAGACACAGCAGTAACAAAAACTCATGCTCACTTGTGCTTTCTTGCGTAGAAGCCACTTATCTTCCGCTGGAGGCTGGTTAGCGTTTCCTAGGTTGTTCGAAGTCAACACCCAACTGTTTACGTTCAAGGGCAGGTGGAATGGAGCCAAGAGGTCTAGGAAAGGACTCTTGAAATTATTATCTGCTTTTTCCCTGCTCGCCTTTTCTTCTGCGCTTTCTGTGTTGTGCTCAGACTTGGCCAGCCAGCTTGTCAGAGGCCTTTCGAGCAACACTTTTAGGGGTTCCGCGATCTCTGCGGAATAATCCGCTTTCTCTGCGCTAACGGGTTCCCCTGTGAGCTGCTGTGCAAGGTTAAGCCAGGTACTGGCAGCAGACTTGGTCTTCTCATGCTCAGCACTTGCTACTTCTTTCTGGCTGACTGCAACTCCATTTTTATCCTTCCCTTCTTTCTTCAGAAGCCATTTACACAGAGCCTCTTTTCCACAGTTTTCATCACACACACACTCTGAAAAGCTGGCACACAGCTCGTTAGCTTTGCACACTTCTTCCACCTTAAATGGGGCCTGGGGATGCTGAAGCAGCCAAGCATTTACAGGATATGTAGTGGGTGATTTCTTTCCATCAAGATGCTCATTCAGGCACTTCAGATTTCCCAGGTTCTCAATTTCCACACTTTTGATCTGGCTGCCGCAACAACTGGTACATGTTTCAGCTTTGAGGAGCCAATCATTCGAATTAAATTCTTCCCTAAAAGGTTTGAATTCATACTTGCATTTCTCATCTGAAGCACTACTTCCATTTGCTGGGTCAGGAGTAAGCAGCCAGTCAGAAAGGTCCATCTCTTCTTGTCCAAGGGATTTCAATTCCTCCACCTTCTCAACAGCGGAAGAGTTGAAAGTAGAGGTGGAGTCCTTGCGTCCCAGGGCGTCTACCTTCCCAGCAACATCACGCTGTTGATTCTGCAGGAGCCAGTTTTCCAAATCTTTCAGATTTCCCCAGGCTTGCTCAAAATAACACACTTTGGCAGAATTTAAATCCTGATAAAGACACATTGAAATGCATCTATTAACACTAAAAGACAATGTTCAGTAGCTGTTTGCAGTTCCAGCTTGGAGCATTCTGACAGTAACTGCAAAAGTATCAGTTGAACATGAGGCAGAGTGAAGAGAATTACAGAAGGTTTAATTCCCACCATATTCCACCTGCAATCAGATACTGTGTTTTCCCCTTTATTGAAAACCAGGTCAGTAAACCCACAAAGGGCTTACCTGGCTGGGCTCCGACACACATTTTTGCGTAACCCATTCTTCAAGATTGGTGCTGGGAATATATGGAGCCTGGCAAGCACCCACAGGTCTGCTTCCAAGTAACCAGTCAGCAAGCGAGGCACTCACTGTCCCACACAATGTTTTCTGCTGAGAAAGAATGTTCTTGGTTATGAGAAAGTCTAATCGCTGAGGTAATCTACGGTGAACATCAAAACAGGCATTCAATGTGCATTAGTATTTCTGAACCAGAAGAAAAACCAGTCCCTTCTCTAATGAAGGAAAAAGTAAATCTTCAATCACCTGTACAACTTTAAGCCACTACACTGGTAGGTATGTTTTGTGTTCACGGATTCTTCAGAGAGCAAATGACAAGAAAGAGAAGTGACAACTTCTACAACGCACAGTTCTGATACGCATAACCCAGCCATAACCCTGCTCCTGACCACCATTCCAGTTACTCATTTGCTACCCTCCTTCACTGACGCTGTTTCTGTGCAGAGCCCAACATAAGATTTCCCATGAATTTCTGCATTAAAAGGAATCGGATAATTCTGAGTCATGACTTGACAACTTCAAGGAATATTCAATTAAAAAAATTCTGACTGATGGTCACACTCCAAATTCACTTTCATACTATGTTCTCGCACGTCTGCTCCTGGAGCAGCTAGAACATCGGATTACTAACGCTCACCACAGCGACTGTTCTGGTTACTCAAACATCTTAAACGAACAGAAGTCATTACTCAAGCAAGCTAACATATCGTGCTTGAGTTCTCCTTTTCCCTTTAATACAATTAAACGTTCACACACACAAGTCTTAATCTTACCTGCTCACAGTTTATTAGGGCACAACTCTGCCCTGGGAACCAGGGAGAAGTATTCTCTCTCTCTGAGGTTTGCTATAAGGAAAGAAAAGTGAAAGTTAATTTAAATCTCAATTTTGTCCAGTTTCTAGGATGAATTCTACAATAAAGCAGAAGTAAAGCTCAGTTACAGCTGGTCAGTTCTTAGTCACTAAAAATTTTCTCAACATTTAAAAACAGAATGGAGAAAGATTTGCTATAAAAATACTACCTTCAGTCTGCTTTCTTTAAAAGAATTATCTCCAATAATACAGGAGATACGCTGCTTACATAATAATGCCAAAATATTTACGGCACTGAAAATCTTCTGTGATGTGTAACTATTAATATCTAAATAAAACCATAACATAAATTTTATGTAAGATATACAGAGTAAGAATATAATCATCATTCCCTTAGTCTCAGCCAAAATATATTAAAATACCATGTAGGTAACTAGATCTAAGCTCAGTCAAAATCAGAACTACACGCAATAGTTAATAAACCACTGTGTATTTATTGTACGGCTAAAACTATAAGACTCGTACACAAGATCCATTCAAGCTATAACTAAAAGTAGAAAAATCACTTGGAATGTATCGCACTACTGCCTCAAAAAAAGATTTTTTTTCAAATATTCCAACCCAGGAAAGTCTTGGTGCTTACCATCGTTTTAATTGAACCAAATGAGGTAATAGCCTGGCGAAGGTAAGATGTGTCAGCCTCAAAATTCAGGATGGAAGACTCCTCTGGTTTAAGGGTAAGACTTCCCAGTCTGAAAGAGTAAGAGGATAGTTACAGAAAAGGAAAAAAAAAAAGTTACAATCTTCTTTGGCCATCATGTTTCAGGAATCAATCCATTATTTCATAAAAAGGCTTCCAAAGTGACTTGGCACTAATTAGGTAACAGAAAGACTTCTAATACTTGCATAAAAATAAAGAGATGCCTATCTGCAAACTAAGAAAAGAATAAATAGCTAGCACGTAATTTTCTCTTTCTTACTTCAGTTGCCATGAACAACTAATAATTGAAATAATCTGCACAAATGAGTACTTCCACTGCTCATTTTAGTCCTGTTTTTTTTTTTGATTTAAGATAAAAAAGATGAGAGAAATCATATCTCAGACTGCTTTAAAGATCTTATTTCTAGGAACCATTAAAAATGTGGAAACAGTGAGTTAGATCTATTATTAGTTCTATCATAATAAAAAAATCAGATTAAATTCATAAGTCAAAATAAATACCAACTGCGTTAACCTGCATCGTGAAATACATTTACCTCTCCAGGCAAACTGAAATCTGTTTTGCCAGTTCGTTACTATAGGAGCGTTCCAGCTGATGAATAAGGCAATTGAATTGTCCCAGGTACTGCATGGAAGGCAAAACACATGTTTATTGTTTCGGTTTCTAAGATGAAAATAGAGAAAATACTTGCAAGGACAAAGTTTACTTAGAAATGCCAGCGCAACAATTTACAACCAGATCTTACCCAATAGAGCTGCTGTGCCTGCTGCTGCAGCGCCTCCTCCTTCAGCTGCTGAATGAGATCCACCTGCTCAACCAGCCACACTTCGCGGCTGCGCAGGCATTCCAGGTGGCGGCTTATGTGGCTGTGAATCTTGGCTTTTACCTGTAAGGTAACACGTACTGTTTCTAGAACATCTGCCAAAGAGTATGAACAAGCACATGCTGCACTGATTACAAAATAATATTTGTCACGGACAAGCGGTATTTTTTGAGCAATTTATTTCTCAAAAGTTAACCACAGTCACCCACAGCACCACATGACTCAAGTCAGTGAAAGTTCCAAGGCTACCTTTAAAGAAGTATCAAAGAACAATGTTATTTACAATATCTCTCTATTCCATTTCCACCAACAGCTTTAGTAAATTCTGTGTGTCTAAGCTAGTCACACAGGAACACCTTTACCAAGAGCATGTCCAAATTACACTGTGAGATGCTCGCAAGTCTCTAGGAAAATTTCAGATCATCATCATAATAGAAAGTACTCTGAAATAATAAAAACTGTCATTAAAGTCATGTTAGTTATTAAAACATTTTTAAAAATAATTTAAAATTACCTCTTGCCAGTTCTCTTTAATTTGTTGTTCAGCTTTGACAATTCCAGATATAGCTGTTTCCAAGTCCTTCTTTGCTTGAAGGCACTTTGCCAGAGGCTCACTTGTGCAGGAATTTCTACTTCTATCTTGTGGTGGACTCATTTTTGAACTGTTCCTAAAACACAATGAAAAAAATATTTCTTAATAATTTCTATTCTTCTTTAATGGAAGAGGAAGGGCATCATATGAAGAACCATTGGCTCTACTTCACTATAAAGGTGAACAAAAAACCCGCCCTACACCAATGCAAGTTTTTCTAAATGTAGATAAAGCTTTCTCCAATGGTCTCTCAAACTCCTCCGCCTACGGAATTTGCACAATCACAGGAAAACCAACGATATTTGACAACAGCTTCAACCACAGGAGCTTAGGCAATCCTCCCCTGCCATTCACCTTCCTCTGGCTTTTATGTCTAGCCAGCAAACTCCAGCAGCTGAGGGCTGATTCCAGCAAGGCTCAGCAGCTCTGCTGCAGCTGGGGCAGAATGGCCTAGCAAGGGGCAGGAACTGTTTCAATCACCCTTTTTTTCAGCTGCAGGCAAATGAGCTGGCTCCATAAATGAGAACATTCTAATATAGGTTGATCAACTGAAAAAAACAAGTGTTGATACATAGATCACTCTCCACTGAGCTGCAAAGGCCAAAACTTATAGCAGCTGCCCATTATTTTTGTCATGGTCAGAGCCATGGTAACTTAATGAGCTTCAGCTTATCCTCCAGTAAAACAGGCTCAGATACAAAATTTCTACACAAGTTACACTGGTAAGGATTCTGCAAGTAAGGGAAAAAAGCTAAATACGGATTTTTAGTAAAAATAGGAAGCATCAATATAAGCATTTTTTCTAAACAGTGGGTATTCTGTTACCAAAGAGTTTCAAATTCTCATGTTAGTTTCATGTGGTTCCTAAAACACTAAGTAAAGATTCATAGTAAACATTCTATTTAAAGCAAGTCTTCTGCAATGGCAGCTACAGAAATGCCCAGAAGAATTAATTACAGTGTACACATGTGCCAATCTAAATATTTCATAGATTTTACCACCTCTCTGGAGGGCACTGAAAAGAGGATATTGAACATGATGAGACAACCACAGAGCTCGTGTTACTGAGCAGCTATTTAGTCTCCAATTTCCAAGCCCCATGACCGTACAAACTGCAACCCAAAAATCCTCCTACAGCCAAGACGCATGTAAGTTGTGTATTTCAGAGAGCAGAGGGCTAGGAGTGGTTCACAAGTGGAAGTTTACAGAAAAAAAAGCAAGGTTTGCTGTGAGGCAGCAGCAGAGGCTGCATCTCCCTTGGTTCTCTCCACACCACGGGACTGTCGTCTCCCAGGTGGCCCCAGCCATGAGACACGGAGTAAGCATAGAAGCAACACCAAGCCCCTGCACACAACTCAATCCCAGCCTCACCATAACATCTCATCTTCTAGGAACTGCAGAGCACAACTACAAGAGAAGTGAACTTGAATTTATACTTTAATCTTATGTTAATTCTACACCAAATTTGACAGAGCGCAGATGTCCAAAATACATCGTTCTCCATTCTGCTATGAATGTCAGTTTTTTCCTTGTATTTGCATACTCTAATTAATTCACAGGTTCAATTCTGATAGGTTTCACGATCTTCACCGTATTACACCTACTGGTGTTCAATAAAAGGTAAGCTTTCTTTTCACAACAACCTTTAGATTTTACTTTGCTTGTTAACCGTCTCATACAACCTGCAGAAAAATGTAAGCAGGAGCCCTAGCTCTCACATGTAATCTAAAAGTACTACTGCAAAGCCAGACATATACTCAGCCAAGAAAACAGGAATGTTAGACATATTAAAAGCTGTCATAGGCTCAAAAGTAAAAAAAAAAAATATCATGTTGTTCTTTATTATTTCATTCATCATACTCTTACATAACAACCAAGGCTAAAGTCTCATGTAATTGTCATGTTTACTCACACAGTAGATAATGTACTTAAAAGTTTTCTGAAAATTACATTACGCTGTATATCTACAAATGCCAAGTCCAAAGTATGCTGCATTGCCATTTCTGTGTTTCCTGAATTTATGCCACTAGGGAGCTGGGCTGAATGCCTGAAGAAATGCTACTTTTTCCACACTTTTCATTAGCAACTTCATACTAACAGAGTCACATTTAAGAAACTTACACACACTCCTCTAATGATCTCTGAAAATACTTGCATTTCTCGCTTTTCTGGTTTTTTATTTGATTGCAAGAGTCTCTCTCTAAAACAGAGAGAATGAATGCTGCTTTCATGCATCCAGCCAGCTCTTGTAAAATGGCTGTTCTTATGCTTTGTCAAAAATTAGCCAATAAAACTAACATTACAGTTGAGGACGACAGTCAATCCACCTTTCTTTTTAAATTTCCACAAGCCTCTAACAAAAACAAGTAGGGGTAACCACCTATTTCCTTGCTTCCCAATTATCACCAAATAGCACTAGGAGTTTAAGACATTTTCAGGTTCCGTGCTATGAAATACCCGAGACCACACACTCAGGCTCAACAGTAACAAAATAAATTACTTCTGCAACAGGATACAAGGTTTCAATACAGAGTCACCGGTTTTGCCAATTTCTACTTCATCGACCCGTTTCCAACCGCACGGAGGTATGCCACCGCGGGTACACTGCGTCACGGGATGCACACCCCATCAGCTGAACTTGCACTTACTTTCCGGGCGAAGGAAGCAACTCAGCAGCGTCCTGCTTAGAAGGCTGTTTCCATTTGCAACCCTCTGTTCTGCAGAAGCGCGCTGTTAAACAGTCACGTGCAGCTGTTGTCAGTCCCGCTGCGAATTCCGCTCCAAATAACTCGCTCGCTGCCGCGGACGCGATCCGACCCAGACCACGGCAGGGGGAAGAGC